TATATATATATATATACAGATTCGTCAACAGCTTGCAGCTCAGAATGTTTGGTCAGTTCAGAAAGTGTAACTTATTTATTACATAGATTCATTACAGAGTGAAATATTTCAAACATTCATTTCTTATAATGTTGATTATTAAACTTACAAAAAAAAAACAAATCTGTGTGTCAGAAAATTAGATCACATAAGATCTATATTAAAAAGATATTTTAAACAAAAATATCAAGTACATAATATCAGTCAATTATCAGACTAATCAAATCCTGAAGCTTGAAGAGGATCAACAATCCTGAATGATGTGTTTATTAAGTACAGGGTGAGTCAAAAGTATCAGGACACCCTTTTATTTCAGAAAGAAAAGGGAAAATATAATATCTGAATACCCCAGTGGGTAACAAATAAGGGGGCCTATCCTTTGGGCCAATGGTTTTCAAAGTTGGGGTCGTGACCCTTTTGTGGGTCACAAAACATCAAGTGAGGGTCCCCAGATGATTTCCAGACATCAATTTAAAAGCAAAAAAATAAATAAATAAAAATGCTAATAGAATATTTTCACCACGATTATTGCAATTTATAAAACAATAATCATAAATGATTGTGACTGTAGTATTATAGTTATTAAATATGCTTATATTGTTGTTATTCCCATGTTTAACAGAGTTATTAGCAAAGCTTGTATAAGTGAACAAGTAATACCCAGGGTTGCGAGTGTCTGCAACTATTATTTTGTGGGCCGGAAGCAAAAAAGTTTGAAAACCACTGCTTTAGGCTATTCCCAGAACATGGCAGCCATCTTGAAAGCTACCATATTGGATCAAGGGCAAACTTTTCCACTTATGGTTCATTCTTTGTTTTTTCCGTTTCAAAATAAAACAAGAAATAAAATAATAATCTTGTGTTATTGATTTATTTTTGTTTTAAAACTAAACTATAAAAACAACAATTGTAAAACTATAAAAGGCCATGTTTTTTGTTTTATTTTAATGGTTAAAGCAAAGACAAGCTTTACATTTTGTTCGTGCATCATTTGGTACTTTCTGGCCTGAGCTCCTGGATCATTACGTTTTCACTTCTCACCATGGATGTGTTTGTGTTTTTAGAGGGGGTTGCGCTCTTACTGTGAAAAGAATTGATTTAATATTCCAAGTTATTTAGAATAGAGTTTGAATGCAGCCATTGCCAATGTCTTTAGGAATGATTTCTGGTTTTAGGTGGTCTTCCAGCCACTTTAAACTCTTCTTCTTGAGCCAGACACGTCCATGTTAAAGGTTAAARGGTTATTAGTTTAGAGAACAGACAGTCTCGTTTTAGAACTGGCATGTAAAAAAAACAATCACAACACAAGAGCACTTTTACTGCTAAYGAGCCAAAAACGAGTTTTTTTTTCTACGCTGAAGCTGATTTACTGTGACGACCTTAAACACAATGAGGACCATCAAGCTGAACGTCTCTTTATTCTCATGACTTATTATGAAAACTGTCACCAAACATGGTGAACAGCTGACATCTTCAGCAATCATCCTTTTTTCACTCATCTTTCTGCTTCCTGTTGTTTTTATACAGTCATATGAAAAGGTTTGGGCAACCTTGTTAATTTTCCTGATTTACCTTTATAAATCATTGATTGTTTCGATTAAAAATAATCAGTTATAGGAGACAAACACAGCGATATTTGAGAAGTGAAATGAAGTTGAAATGATTTACAGAAAATGTGCAATAATTGGTTAAACTAAATTAGACAGGTGCATAAATTTGGGCACCATAAAAACCTTGAGTCAATATTTAGT